TGACAAGCAGCCTTTCAGTTACGATCGTTAACATCAGTGGGCCACAGCAAATGATGGTGAGAAGCTAAACTATCTATTAATTATGTCAATTACAGGGAGTGTGATTGTAACTGTGTGTGTGACTAGCTGGATGCAAAGAGGTAAACACTGTATTTTGTTTCCCATGCTTGCTCTTCAAACAGCCAGGGACAGATACTATGTGCCCGTGCTAAATAAACACACACACACACACACACACACACACACACACACACACACACACACACACACACACACACACACACACACACACACACACACACACACACACACACACACACACACACACACATACACATACACATACACACACCAAAAACACACACACACAAACCTTCACATTACTTGAAAGTGTATTCTAACTGGATGAGATGTATTTCATGGTCTGCTATTTGAGTATGTTAATTGAATGCTAAGTTAATCATGGAAGCACCTTCTATGATTATCATTTATTTGTTATAGACATTATAAGCATGCAAATATTCAATGTTCATTTATTGTGAGTCTGCAACAAAGTGTTGCACACTATTGCATTTGCAGTTCAGTAACGCTAAACTAAACTCACTCTAAACACTAAATTGACTCAAACTAGTTAATTACATTTCTTTCACCTTATTTAAAGAAAACAACACATTATAGTGACATTATATAACAGGCCTGTAATGTAATATACCTTTCTATAAGTTTAATCACTTCCCTTAAATACCTAATGATCACTTATGGTAAACCATAATCACATTAAGATGCATTACAGTGATTATAATGCATTTTAAAGATGATTATGAGGCATTCTACAGTGATTGTAGTATTCATTCATCCAGCCATCCATCCATCCATCCATCTTCTCCCGCTTATCCGTGGTCGGGTCGCGGAGGTAGCAGTTCCAGCAGAGAGCCCCAAACTTTCCTTTCCCTGGCCACATCAACCAGCTCTGACTGGGGGATCCCAAGGCGCTTCCAGGCCAGCGAAGAGATATAATCCCTCCACCTGGTCCTAGGTCTACACCTCGGTCTCCTCCCAGCTTTACGTGCCTGGAACACCTCGAGGCGCGCAGGTGGCATCCTTACCTTTTGACGCTATTATGTATTATAAAAAATATAATTTTTTACAAAAGGGAATCATAAAACACTAAAATCATTGCAAAATAAAGTCAGTGAGTGACCAACAATAATGAATATCATGACACTTGACATTATGTCCTTACAAAATACTTTTAATTACGTGATTATTATTACTCTATTGTAAGGGTGTTTATAGTCATAATACACTGTAATAAGCAGATTATGATGCAATATTGGGGTCATAGAAAATGTTACCTTATGTTCTTTAGTCTTATCTGACTACAGGCACTCCTAAATGAGCCCATGTTCTGTTTCTGAATCTCAAATTTATTATTCCCTTCCCCATGCTGGATTTAGTCACACAACAGTGGGACGGGGCTTTCTGGCAAACGCTCCTCCAGCAGAATGGCAGGGACCACATAGCATGGCAAATCAAATGTCAAAAAAGCAGTTGGCTTACTCCAAACTATCTCACACTTTCATTCTCCCAATATTATTGAGTGCTGCTGGGAGAGAATATACATGACACAATGTCTCTGTGGGACTTAGATTAGAGGGAGCTGGAGATAAGTGAGAGAAAACCATCAGCAGATATGATAGCAATCTGGGATCCACGTTAGTTACCCTGCTGTGACAACTGTGCTCATCGGCTGAGCTATTAGATGTTTTCTCTGTTAAACAATCTTACTCAGATGGTATCATGCCACAACTGTGTTTTTTTTTTGTATCAAGGAGTGTCGAGCGTGGGATGTACTGAATGTGAGATTATTATTCATTCCTATGGGGAGATTTAAGATTGAGAAAGCTGCTTGATCCTTGGGGAAGAGATGGAAGACACAAAGCTTATGTCGCAGTGCATGGAGACGACACAATACACGCACAAAACTCCTGTGATACATTGTGTTGGTAATTAGTTCAAAGTGCTTTATTATTAGCTTAGCTCTGCCTGATCATATCATTGCTAGCGCTCTATCTTTTCACCATTGGTGGAATGTAATTAAGAATATGAACTCAAGTAAGTATCCTTTTGAGGTATCCAAACTATACTTGACTATTTTCATTTTCTGCCATTTTATACATCTCTACGTCTGAGGAAAATATTGTACTTTTGACTTCACTATATTAATTTTGACACTTGTAGCTCGTTATTTTTACATAAATATGTTGTGTTAATATGAACGGGTATATGTATAAATGTATTTGCTGGTTATAAAAACAGAATGCTATTATTATAAGTGCCACTCTGCACATCAGAAAGGAGAAGTACATTTGTAGATAATGCTTCTGTATTTCTACTTGTCGGTAACATTTTAACTTCAAACTTTTACTTTAATGTAGTCTTTTTCGACCGTGGTATGACTACTCATCCTTAAGGAAAGGATCTGAGTACTTTCTCCACCACTGCTATTCACTGAACCGGCACTGTACGTTGACATTTGAAGAAATATTGAACTTTCCTTCAAGTGTTCACATCATTTTTATCCTCTGCAAGTCAATTTGGTGAAGAATTCGTCCAATAAATACTTGGGACAAACCGATCTCCTCGCTGTATTATCACTCTTCATTCTGCCACATCTTCATGAATCCTACATTGTTTCTGAAGTAGTCAGCTGCTTGCTGCCCCAGGACACGCTGTCATCGCCACTTTTATTACTTTTTTTTTATTTATCAGCTCTCAATTTCATTATTTCAAGCATGACATGTAACTTATGATTCTATATCTCTCAGGAAAATAGCTGTCACACATGTAGGTACAGATTAGATTTATTGATTCACAATCTCACTGTATATAAACCTTAATAAAATATCAAAAATAAAATATCAAAAAAGAGAAAGGGACATTTTGTAATCCTGGGATTACATGGCTAAATCAGTGGTCTTACTAGAAGAAACTACTACATACAAGTTTCATTTAAAGGGAGAATAATTATGCATTAGTGAATCCCAGGATAACAGAATTAATTATGGGCTAGCTGGTCAACCAGTTGCCCTTCATTTCTAAAAAGAAACTACCATGACTAAAGAGAGCTTACATTGTATTTTCATTAGGAGGCAATGCACAATGATTGGACAAGGACCTGCTAAAAACTCATTAAACCTACAGCGCTCACACTCTTTTATTAGAGGAAGTAATATTCTGGCTGAGAGTGTGCCCTGGGGTAAAAATGGAAAGTTATGGTGGCTGATTTTAGTTAAAATTCCTGGGTTGCCTGAATAATTGATTGTGCAAAGCAGAATATCTGAACCACAAAATGAAATAAATTAAAAAGATAAAGATGGAAAAAATGTACACTATAAATTGGAATAATAGTTTATCCACAGTTTAAGGATTTTATTCTTTGTTGAAACTAGCTATAAATATCAGCTCCAAAAGATCTAATAATCATAGCATGCACAGAATACTGAGGAAAACTACTGTCCTTGGTGGTAACGCAAATTCAACTGGAGAGTCCCTCCAGAGAGTAAGCCTTAAGCTTAATGCTTGAACAAACACTGATTTAAATGTTTTATTTCTCTTAGAATTTGCAGCTGTCATTATAGCATTTTTGGTTGTATTATATCAGATGGACAGCTCTCAATTGCCTCACATTTTTCAATGTTTGGTCTTTTGGGGGATTTGTCCTTGTCCGCTGCAAGTCTAAGGATGTGTATTATGCTGTACAGATTTTAAAGCCCCCTAAAGCAAATGTTTAGTTTCTGATATTGTGCTATAAGTAAAATTCTGATTGGTTATCAAGTTAACTAAGCTCATTTCAGAGAATGTGTTTAATGAGATACAGCCGTCTAATTTCAGGTATAATTTATTTAGAAGTTAATGCTGGGTGCAGTCATAAGATGTTTTTCTTTAAATGTGTTGCCTCCCAAGGCAATAGCAAGAAAATAAATACATAAAAACAATTCAAATTGATTTCCATTTAAACCATGAAGAATATACTACTGAGAAATACTCTGTGCGTTACTCTGAAAATACAAGTCTCTAATCTAAAACTAAATATAAATAAAAAGGGGGATGAGCGTTTGTATTTATTGAAAAAAGACAAACTAACTGATACTGGCTGGCTCTTCGGTTTGCAAATATTAAACTGTATCCTGGGTATTTGTATAATTCATACACTTGCCCTTTTATTTTTATTTACCTATGAATGCGTTCTAGTGCACACATTTATAGCATCAATACATATTTAATTAATTGATGTGTTGAACTTTATTGGCCTCTTGTTTCTATTGCTTCTTAAATTGTCCTCTTTAATATGTATTTATGTTGTTTCTGCACCAGATAAATGTTTCCCTCAACTGTCATAATTATATCACTCAAGCTACAATCTGCAAAATTGAGGTCAAATGTATGTATTTGATGAAAGAAAACAAAACAAAGAGGCAATCATTGCATCTCGGTTGCACATTTCAAAAGCAAGTGCAACATCACATGCGCTAGGTGGTGCACTGTGTAAGTGAGCAAGTTTATGGTTTGATCATTTGAAACAAAATCGGTTGCTCAGTAGCGCCACTTGCGCTGGCCTGGCGGCAATACCTATCAGTCTTGTGTTATTACAGCCCTCATGACCACGACAGTGTGAAGTTAACATACTGAAACAAGGAACCCCTGATCTGGACTGTCAAAATAAAACGCTTACATGTTGAAGCATCCTTTCATCACATAAGATGCATCAATACCTCAAATATAGTATTACGCATTGAAATACACCTTACAAATTCAACTTTCCTGAATATTATTTCATAGCATTAGGCATAATATGGAGAACAAAGATGGTATATTTTTACTTTACCGGAAACGTTGTCTACTTTGTGATGTGTGTTGTTCTGTCTCTGGTTAACTTGACAAAGCTTTGACCACGAATGAGCCAATAGGCTGTGGAAGGCAGAGTTGTCCCTGTGGCCGCCATTAAAGAAAGGAATCCATGAATTCAAATGGAAACCAACAGGAACCGAGGCTGAAATAATGACCAAAATAATCGCTAAAATATAGGCCGATGGCAGATTTCGAGAGGCTTCCACAGGATGCATTTCGTTTTTAGACTCATTTTTGCGATGGAGGAATAAGACAGGACGTATTTTTTTTTTTTTTAAGCACAGACCGTTTTAGGGCTAAGGGGGAGGGGGAGAGTTGCTTCTTTGCTCTCCTTTTCTTTTTGTTTTATGAACATTTTTCGCTTCCCCTAATGAGTTTTTACAGTGTGCTTTTGGGATGTCGACATAAAGCCCTCACGGTCTCTTTTATTCGCTTTTAGCTCCGGCAGTGGAACTGCAATAGGAAGGTTGTTGAATTAACTATCCTCCAGCCAAATGTTACAAAAAATATTTCTCGTTGATTAGACCTGCACATCTTCTGAAAACAAAAAATAGCAAATTGTTCTCTATTTCCCGGGAAGTGAAATGATGGAGAGTTGGACCTCGCAGTGAAGAAGGATGAGTTCTTGTTATGTACCAAACGGGGCCAGCTTGGAGGATTGCCATTCCAATCTATTCTGTCTGGTAAGAGATTTAAAACTAAAGGAAAGCAGCCATTTTTAACTAGCTGAACAGGGGCTAAGCTAACATTAGCCACACAGGCATCAGTTGATAGGAGCTTAGCTAGGCTTACGGCCCTGTCGAGCTGACATCATTTCAGGGCAACAAGGTATCCCGGTTCGCTAATGTGCTCTTGTTTGAACACTTTGTCACTTAACCCGCTTGTAACCTCCTGTCTATTGGTGTCTCCTCCTGTCACATTTCCATTTCTCCACTTGCAAAGCAAACATTCAAGGTTAACGCCACTGGCTTGTTAATCTTCATTTACTACATTTCTCAGGACAGACACAACAACATATCGCATGTGAGCACGGAAATACATGTTATGCATTTCACTGTCAAAAGCACGGGTGTGTGCCTCAACTTAGTCATTTGTTGTTGCACTTTCTACAACCCCTTGCTCATTATTAACTTGCTATCTCGTTGTCATTACATCTCCACTTTGTTTTTATCAAGTAGTGACCCGTAAAGTAAACACCTCTGGCTTTGCAGCGTTAAGTTGTATCGCTGAGGCTGGGGAACCGCTGAGCATTTACTGTGAAATACTATATGTTTATGCATAACACTGACAACTCCTGGAGTGTCAGTGCACAACTCGCACACCTTGTTTATAAAAGCACGACCCTTATGTTATGCACAGAAAGTCTTTTTGCAACAAGCATGCAACCAGATTTATTGTGGTGACAGTTATTGTGTTTAAACGTTAATTATTTATGTAATATGTCATCAGCGTGTTTGTCAGAGGCTTAATCTCCTTGGACTTCATTTTCTAGTATTCACACCAACTAGGGCACGGGCCCCAGGGTGATTATATAATCTTTGGCATGCATTCCAGGGCATTACAAACATGAAGGTAACTACATGTCTACACTTTCCTCTACTATAACTACAGTTTAAATTAAGAAAATGTATAAAAGCAACTACCCTTTATCTATCTTATTCATCATACCATGTTGTCATTTGTGGCCAGATCAAGTTTCCCTAAATAGTTGTGGTTTTGCTCCTGGAGTTTACACATATTCTTTAAATCCCATGTGGGAGGGTTATTTAGTGCAGTGAAAATCTACTGTGTAGTTCACTATCTTTACTTGCTTATGGAAAGGTGTTGCTGTTGTGTGTAGTTCCTCTTCCTGGCTGGAAAATAATGGTCTGAATGTGTTTGTTGTTGCAGTTAATAGGCTTGTCAGCACGCTTAACTACTCTTTGACTTGTAGGTGAGCTCAAGAGTGTAATACTACCTCAATGAGCTCCTCTAAACAATCTGCTTGAACAGTTGAAGATGTGTTTTGTCATATGCATGAATGTAACCCTTAAAAAAAGTAGTGTTTTGTTAAAGATTAAATGACTCCTAACCACTTTGTGGTGCAGGGCCAGAAATGAGAGACCGCAAAGTGCATCGATCCTAGATTGATTTGTTAATTTATGCAAAAATAAGTTATTAAAAGAGGATTGCGGGTAGAAATGCATCTATATCAATGCAGCCTTCGAAAGTAGAATAATAACAACGTAGTGAAATACTGCACTGCTTTTTACACAAATTGACACCGTTTGAAAGCTGTCCGCCCACTAAAGGTAACATTTCATTGCAGATAATCCCCACTCTCTCAATACTACTTAGTTGGGTCGATTGTGTGTGCTGAACTCGTAATTACAATGTTTACAACAGCACTTGAAGGCAGCGTTGGATACAGTGGACAGGCGAGGCAGAGGCTGGTGCTGTGCCTGTCTGGCTGACATTTTCCTGCACACTGAGACTAAGCATAACACCACTGCTGCTATGACTCACTCGCTGAACAGACTCCACTTTGTGGTTTTATGGTGAAAGAATGCCAATACATTGTGGTACTTTTTTCCCTTTTCATTGGATAGTCTCCTCTTTTATTTTAAAGAGGCTGTTTGAAATGAACTTTTCTGCATTTATATGCATGCTCATATGTAAGCTCTTCATGACACTTGTATTTTGAGCTTCCATGCATTTCAGCACCATTCAACCCTTTTTAAAATAACTCTTGGAAACATTTAGTTTTGTGGAAGCATCCAATACAGTAAATCGCCAAAAGCCTTGTATAAAGTTACTGAAATGAAACTGATCTAATTTGCATTCATTTCAACCAGAAATGCAAACACACATGTGTTGGTTTCACTTTTGCTCCCCGACAGGGTTAACTGAGGGAGAGAGGTGACAGACAGGAAAGAGACTTGTTGGAGGAGCATCTGTGACATGATTTGAGCAGCTTCACCTGTTGCTTGTCTCATGTCTTGAAAGGCAGTAAGGCAGCTGTTTGAACACAGTGTTTCCCACTGAGTCCCTGAGTGGCCGCAGGGAAGGTGAGCAGCTGGCTATATCAGGGGTCGTAACCATCGAAGTGCATGTCACCTCAGGAAAACTTTCTTCCTTTATCCCGTGCATTTGGCCTTTAGATTCTCTGCTGATGCAGCTGTGTGGTTTTTGTTTTTTGCAAGGAATCAAAAGCTTCTTGAACATTAAGACACAGGCAGGGGGGAAAATGTGTAGATTCATGGTAACGTATCAAGTGTTTGAGGCACCACCTTGTACCTTGCACCAATGTATTTTAAAATGATAGCGCAATTGCAGAAGGCACATTTATCCTTGATAGAGAAGCAGTGTGCCTCTTGGATATTGTTGATGAGGACTTACATGTCCAGTCTTTGACATGGGGCAAATGTAATGTTTATACATTGTAACAATGTACAACATTTTCTTTATGCTATTTAAATGCAGTCGTCAGTTTTATTTCTGAATGTTATAGATTAGCAGTACATCTTTTCAACTAGAGTGGTTACTTGAAGTAGGCTTTATGAAGTCCTAAAAGGGTTTACAGCATTCAAGTAAAAATCAATTAATGTTATTTGTTGTTAGGATGAAGTGGTAAAATAGGTATTGTGTTGCTACAGTTAATTCAAGATGGATGTTTCTTTCAATGCTTGCAATCAGTCAGTCTCAGTTTCCTGTTTCAAACTCAGTGTTGCTACTTGGCAGTAAAACACAGACTGTCCAGGTGATAATGTGTAAATAGTTACAAAAATAAACGTAGATTGTTTCCACAATGACATTTGGTTTTGTTCTGTTTGTAGAATCCTGCATTACATACACACATTTACAGTTTGTATCACCAGTTATTTCCAATATGAATCTGAAGTGCATATATTTGGCTTGTTTCCTGTGTAAACATAACAGATTTAGCTAGAAGTCTCGAATGAAGAGACGCGCTTCTACAAACATTTCTAAACTTTTTCTCTCAATTAAACTAGACACTTGTTATTAAAATGAAGTCATTCAGCTTTAAAGCGGCTTCAGATCTTCACTTTCTCGCTTTTCTCAAGCATGTGGTTATACTCTATACTTAGTAAGACTATCAACGGACCTACACCCCACAAAAGCTTGTGTAGTCACTTTATAGAGTTTCAGTTTCTCACCACATCCACACTGCATTATGCTCAGCGTCTCACTGTTGAAAAGACTGGAGGTAAAACTGGTTAGCCTTTTTGCTCTCTAGCAACAAAGCAGTGCAGAAGGGAAAAGAGAACTCTAACATATCCACGTTGCACACATTGTCATTTGAAGCACCTTCTTTCTTTCAGATAAAAATGAAAATTGCATAAGAAAAAGCTTGGAAATTGCCAAGTATTGCTCTAATTGAGTGTTTAACACATGATATCAATTTCAACACTGAAGCCCTTGAAAATAAAACTGTTCACATTTCTGTGGTGTGTGAGATGCCACTGCAGTGATCTTTTTTTGCAGTGTAATGATTACAGACGGTAATAAATGAAGCGCCTGTTAATGATAAGATATTGAAAGCAGGGATTTCATTTATAGACTCAAGATAATAAACTCAATACATTCAATAAGGCATTTATCACAGAGTATAATGCTTGTTGAAAGTCCTTTTATAACAGAGTTGCTGTAGTGAAGGTTTTTCTTGTGCAATTTATTCTAAAGGAGGATTAATAATATATCGCTCATTAACAGCACAGTAGCCGTATTAATCAGTGTGATAGCGGTGACTGCTGCTACAGTGGCTACGTCTCATAAACCAGATCAAAGTCTGTGTGCCCACAGGATGTGGTCAGCTGGTTCAAGTTGCCCCATGTGTACAGTTGTAGCACAGTACCTGTAGTCAATAACAAGAAGCATGTCAGTGTTTCAAAAACCACCAGTCTGACTGTTAATGAAACTGTTTAGCCTTCTTTTGATCACATGCACACACAATTGCAAGGTTTCCTTATGACTCTGTGTTCCGTTTTGTAAATGATCTGTGCACCAATTACACCTATTTGTCAGCTGAGAGACAATAACTTACAGTAATCCTCACATTTTCATTAGATCGACTAATCAATTAACGGACTAATTGTTTCAGAACAGATTGTAACTGCTTGATTGCTGTACTCAAATTTTATTTGCCAGGAGATTGGATAGAGAGCAGTTTACGTTACCCTATAAATCTTTGCTCTTGTAAATGTAACGCTCACATGGAAGATGATACTGTAGGAAATGTTAAGCTTGAGGCCTTTTAACCCTTTCTATCTGAAAGGGTATATAATATGACTGAATGATGCAGATACAACTCAATGCACTCTACCTCCACAGTAAAAGAAATGTCAAGCAATTATGTTGCAACTGTGTCCACTTTACCACTGCATTAAATCTTCCCTCTAAGAGCCATCACAATGCTCATCTCTTTTGTATTACATGGTCCTTGGTTACAGCTTAAACATAAACAAAAAAAAAAGATAAATCAAATTATTTGAGGCACAGCAATGAAGTAATGAAATGGGTAGAAAAGAGTAGCAAGTTTTACCGTAACACAATTTTCATAAGAGTGATGTAATTCAAAGCAACGTAAAAGTGCCTTGTCACCCGTTTGATGCCTCTCTGTCTGTCTGTGTGCAGAACATAGTCAAAACATGCTGTGCCAATATCTATGTGGAGGAGAGAGCCAATCTGTAGGATCTCGGCTTTGGAACTGAAGGGTCGCCGGTTCAAGTCCCAATTAGACCAAGTATAGGGTGTGGACTAGGAGTTCACCTCCTGGTCACTGTCGAGGTGTCTAGTGCAACGCACTAAACCCCCAAATGCTACTGAACTAAGGCAGCCCCTTCTTTCTTGACACCTCTCTCACTGATAGACGTTTATAGATCCTGTTTGTGCATGTGTGTATTTGGGGCCTATGATGTACTGTAAATAACATCAGAGTGAGAATGGAGTTTCCCCTCAGGGATTAATGCCTTCATCTTAATAATATAGGTAGGACACTAAGGAACTTTTTACACTGCGACACACACTGCGACACACACCATAACATTGGGGCCTACCCATGGTCAGTAACATGACTGGGGGGGGGGTTTACTTGTTAATTCCCTTTACTGTACTGCTTAGGATCTGGTTTCCCAGTTAACCCTCCCGCTGCATTGTGTGCACAGATGTTTCCTAGCAAGCTGCAGGTGTAACATAGTGCTTCTCACACTCCAGCAGGAAGAAGCAGCCTAACTGCTGTAGCTCTGTTGCTTCACACACACACACACGCACGCACGCACGCACGCACGCTCGCTCGCTCGCTCGCTCGCTCTAGATTATATTTTCTTTGATCCAGAGAAGGAAATGATTTAGTTAAGTCAGCAGCAGGTTAACAAGGCATTGCACTTGAGTCACAAATACACTTTAACCTGCTTCTTTTAACAAAATATCTTTCCAAGTTGTGATCAATAAAGTTCATTTAATTCAATATTCCTAATGCTCACTAACCTGTTGTTTTGATCCAGCTCTGCTCCAGCTGGCGCCATACAATGTTCTGTTTTGACAGACCCCCAACAGCCCACCCCCAGCATCACAACTAACACCACAAATCTCCCAGCTTATCCCTAGCCAGGAGAAAGACCACCGCTTCGCTTTGCCATAACCACGGGTAATCACTTGTTCAGGCTCAGCGCCTCTGCACTCGAGTTAAGATATCCTCTGAATTGTAATGGATTAATTGGTTGAATATACAGAGGGACAGCTTGCCAACTCAGCCTGAACGGAATAGGACTAAAAGGCATGAAAATGAGCAGTCCCATGTTCGCACTGATTACTTAAAATGTCTACAAGGATAGATAGAGGACCAAGATTGCTGGGGGAAATAGGATTGTATGCTTAAGGGCTGCGTGTGTGTTTTGTGTTAGCTAGTGTGTGTATGTGTGCAATGTGCATGTGTTATAAGGTAGACACTGGTAGTCTGTCGGCGCTTGGATGATTAGCAGCAGCAGCAGCGCTAGCTAGCAGTGGAGCGTACTGTTCCTAACACTTAATAACCCCGCCAGTGATTTACTGCCTATGAGGCTTTTTCCTGTGTGTTTTGTTCCCTCTATAAAAGCCAGACAGCGTTTATAGAAAGGCAAAGCACCCCCACAAGCACTCGCCAATAATGAGGATTAAGGTGGTGAGACCACAATTACCAGCATTAGTTTTTCCTGTGTTTCGGACATGTTGTCCGAGGGGATATTGAAAGTACCTGAAGCACAAGTTCACAGTTCTTTGCGGAAAGAATCAAAGGTCCCAATTTGTTAATAGCAATTTCACTTTTATTAAAACAGAATGCTGACCTGCTTTCTGCTCAATTTTCTTGTAATTCACTCTGGATATTTTCATGTTTAAGTTTATATCCCCACATATTGAAAGCAAGTGGAGGACAAATACATTCAACATTTCTCTTATACTTTTCCAAAGAAAATGCTGCTCTGTTTTCTGGAAATGTACTGTAGATCTCTCCATCTTTCATTCCTCACCTATATCAGTTTCCCCCCTGGTTTTGACAGCCCGGGTGTCTATTATCAGAAGTAGTTGGTGGGTGAACTGCCACGTAAAAGAGGACTTATACCCACTCTTTACGCTGCACTCGGCACATGTTTACTCAGAGATGCTGACTGGATCCTGAAGCATCGAGTCCGCACACTGACAATCTCTTTCTCTCCCTTTTTGTTGCAGGCTGACTTGACAGGGATCAAATGGAAGAGGTTTGTGTGGCAGGGTCCCACCTCAGCTCCCATCCTCTCTCCAGTCACGGAGGAGGACCCCATCCTGTGCAGCTTCAGCCGCTGCCTGAAGGCAGACATACTGAGCGTATGGCGGCGCAGTCAGCGACCGGGGCGGAGGGAGCTCTGGCTCTTCTGGTGGGGGGACGACCCAAACTTCGCCGATCTCATCCACCATGAGCTTGCAGGTGAGGGCCTCTTGGAATACACATGAGGGCATACCATTAAGAAATAACAATGTATGTTTTATTAAACTGTGCAGGTACATGCTCATTATGCTGCTCGTTCACTACATGGAGGTCAGAGGTCAGGGTCAGATGCTGAGCAACACCCATGGTGCTTGTAGGGATTCATTGATTGAGTTCAGGGAGGTGGTGGTTGTTGTTGTTAAGGAGAAAGTCATTTGCCCTGCTGTTGCATGACAGTTTGACAAATAGTCAGTTAATTTGTTTTTGTAGTTTTGGCAAATTGTATGATTTAAAGAGAGCGAGAAAGGGCTGACATTATATGTCCAAGTCTCTGCTCTGGGAAGTAGATTAATCTATGAATATGAATTTCCCTTCCCCTACCAATATATCTTTTGTTGGATTCATTCAAGGTTATAAAGCTAAAAGAGTGATGGCTGTAAAAGATGACGGGAAATGTAGAAGGCTTGCAGCTTTTGTAAAAGAAGCACTTGAACATCGATCACCCTGTCAAGATATGTTATTGGTTGTAAAATGAAAAATGATACAGATGCCACTGCTTGATTGTCAGGTATGTAAAGGGGAGGTACGTTGTGAGTGAAAGGGAAGTGTTCAAATACAGTGGGGCAAAAAAGTATTTAGTCAGCCACCAATTGTGCAAGTTCTCCCATGCACTTAAAAAGATGAGAGAGGCCTGTAATTTTCATCCTAGGTATACCTCAACTATGAGAGACAAAATGAGAACAAAATCGAGAAAATCACATTGTCTGATTTTTAAAGAATTTATTTGCAAATTATTGTGGAAAATAAGTATTTGTTCAATAACAAAAGTTCATCTCAATACTTTGTTATATACCCTTTGTTGGCAATGACAGAGGTCAAACGTTTTCTGTAAGTCTTCACAAGGTTTTCACACAAGGTATTCCTCCATGCAGATCTCCTCTAGAGCAGTGATGTTTTGGGGCTGCTGCTGGGCAACACAGACTTTCAACTCCCTCCAAAGATTTTCTATGGGGTTGAGATCTGGAGACTGGCTAGGCCACTCCAGGACCTTGAAATGCTTCTTACGAAGCCACTCCTTCGTTGCCCGGGCGGTGTGTTTGGGATCATTGTCATGCTGAAAGACCCAGCCACGTTTCATCTTCAATGCCCTTGCTGATGGAAGGAGGTTGCCGCTCAAAATCTCACGATACATGGCCCCATTCATTCTTTCCTTTACACGGATCAGTCGCCCTGGTCCCTTTGCAGAAAAACAGTCCCAAAGCATGATGTTTCCACCCCCATGTTTCACAGTAGGTATGGTGTTCTTTGGATGCAACTCAGCATTCTTTCTCCTCCAAACACGTCTAGTTGAGTTTTTACCAAAAAGTTATATTTTGGTTTCATCTGACCATATGACATTCTCCCAATCCTCTTCTGGATCATCTAAATGCTCTCTAGCAAACTTCAGACGGGCCTGGACATGTACTGGCTTAAGCAGGGGGACACGTCTGGCACTGCAGGATTTGAGTCCCTGGCGGCGTAGTGTGTTACTGATGGTAGCCTTTGTTACTTTGGTCCCAGCTCTCTGCAGGTCATTGACTAGGTCCCCCCATGTGGTTCTGGGATTTTTGCTCACCGTTCTTGTGATCATTTTGAGATCTTGCGTGGAGCCCCAGATCGAGGGAGATTATCAGTGGTCTTGTATGTCTTCCATTTTCTAACAATTGCTCCCACAGTTGATTTCTTCACACCAAGCTGCTTACCTATTGCAGATTCAGTCTTCCCAGCCTGGTGCAGTTCTACAATTTTGTT